TTATTGATAGTGGGGAAGCATACTGATAACTTTAGTGATCATATAATCATGGATATTCTTAATTTCTATGTAATAATGAATTACCAGAAAAATACTATAGAATATTCACAAATTGATATAGTCATTGTAAAAGTAGTTTGCAAAAGCAAAATATTTTCTAAAAATACACATTAAGATTTATTCACAAAATCTCTCTTCTTTTAACTGAATAATTAGTTCAGTAAATATTTTGATACAATGTTGTTTCCATTAAAGCACAAACCTGAATTTAATGTTGAACAGATTAACTGAGAAATGAGAAGCACGTGGAGGGGATCAAAGCATTTCAAAGTTCTCTTCTTTCATTTTCTAGTCCAAATGTGCAAGGGGCTTTGTAAAATTCTTGCCCCTGAGATTCCAATTGGCTAACAAGGAGGAGAAATGAATTCCAGCAGACTTTAAATACACCAGGACTGCTAATGAAGAAGAGTTGAAAAATTTATGTTAACTTCAGCCTTCAAGTTCTTGATTTATACAATTGTAACTTCTCAAAACCAATACTAGGAATTTGTAGTTTAAAGATTATGGGACACCTGGGTGGCTCAGTTGGTTGGACGACTGCCTTTGGCTCAGGTCATGATCCCGGAATCGCGGGATCGAGTCCCCACATCGGGCTCCCAGCTCCACGGGGAGTCTGCTTCTCCCTCTGACCTTCTCCTCGCTCATGCTCTCTCTCACTGTCTCTCTCTCAAATAAATAAATAAAATCTTTAAGAAAAAAATAAAGATTATATATTGTATCAAGTTGTTCCTAAGTGGGGGAGATAAGGAAGAACCCACTGGTCGAGAAAGTAAAGAAAAATATTAAAAAGAAAAGCAGGTTATTAGTATGTTAGTTAGAATGGCATGAAAACTAGAAGGCAAGTGAGAAAGAAAAATAATTCAATGGCTACACAATGCACTGCTTTCCCACCCCCTCACCCCTCATTTTCCTGGTATTATGCCTCTAGCATTTTACTTACCACCTACCAAGATTCTCTTTTTAGAAATAGGTGATGGGGCCACTTTGGTGCGTATAGGAGGGAAGGTGAAATAAACAGGAAGCTGATCGTGGTGACAGAAGAGTTGACAGATTAGATACAGAAAGTTAATATGTTGTGGTATTTACTTTCACTTGTATATGAACTTCTGGCCTTGAGCTGTTTTTGGCTAATGTCAAGTTGACCTCATCCAGCTGATGTCAGAATCAAGACACAAGAATCAGGGGCACCTGGGTAGCTCAGTGGGTTAAGCCTTTGCCTTCGGCTCAGGTCCTGATCTCAGGGTCCTGGGATCAAGCCCCACATCGGGCTCTCTGCTCAGCAGGGAGCCTGCTTCCCCCTCTCTCTGCCTGCCTCTCTGCCTGCTTGTGATCTCTCTCTCTCTCTGTCAAATAAATAAAATCTTAAAAACGAAAGACACAAGAATCAGGAAATATTCCTATTTCTGTATTTGCAATTCACCTACAGACCTTAGATTCTATTTGGCATATACACTTGCTATTCCCAATGTGGATAAAATACGGAAATGTGATGTTTGTGGGAATCGAGGGGATGGGAGTTGACCTGATCAGGAATCGAACAACTCCATAGGAGGCCTGAGTGTAGGGACATGGCTGCTTTCCAGTGATGCCTAATCTCAGTCTAGAGTTTCTACTTGTGAGAACTGTCCCAAGAGGTTCTTAATAAACACTTGCTAACTGGTTAACATTACATGTAAGAGCAAAAAGAAAAAAGTTTTTTTTTTTCTTTCTGTTGAAGACTCTCTTTTTATATAACAGATGCATTTTAAGTAATATTTTATCCTCCCAATCCTATACTCACCTATTCCATCAGAAGTGATCATATCATGACTGAAGTTGGTAACAGAGTAGCAAAAATGTACACCTGTGCATGATGAAGAAAAACTCAATCTCTCAGCTTTCTAAATCGACCTAGAGACTACTACAGATCGCTTTAATTCGAGCGAAATAAATTCCCTCATGGAACAGAACTCTACATACGGCACAGCCCTTGGCAGCTTCTGACATGAGAAAGGAAGAGTGAAACAGACAACAGGATGTCAAATTGAAGGCAACTATACCAGCAAATCCTGGCATCTCTATGCCAGCGCCAGGTGGTTTGCTGCTTGCTGCAGATGTGACTCTGTCGCCACCTGGGGGCACGAATTACGGCTGAAGGAAGTGTCATCATCCCCACCATCTGTCAAAGTAAGGTCGGCAGTGCAGCTGGTGCTGGAGCGAGCCTGGGGGCACACAGAGGCAGAGCTGCGTTGGCATCTGTTCCCGCTTCTACTGCTACTGCTGCTCGGAACCTTCCGATCTAGAAGGCTTCTGGACTCAGCACGCACTGTATGCTTGACAATGATTAGGATGCTAACAAACGCAGAGATGGGGAAAGCAGACAAGTCAGCAGCACTATGAAGTGGTAACAGATACCTTTACTGTCCCTTAGGACACTGTGTTTCCCATTTGCCTCATAATATCCACAATCACAGGCTACTTCCTGAAGACGTATGCCTTCGATAAACGGGCACAAATGAGAGCTCCAGTGCACCAGTCCCCAGAGGATGAGCTGTCCCCTTTTAGGGATATCGCTAGGGTAGGAACACAGGTTCCCATGACTTGCAGGAGACTTGCTGGGACTCAGAAAGCAGCATGTGATAAGGGAAGAAAGGTTGCTCAGCCCCAGAATTCAAGCACATGGATGCCTTCCTTCTCCTATAGAAATCTCATCCCCATGGCCAAGATAGAGCTATCACTATATTACTTGCTCTTTGAGACTCAGCTTGGTACATTTTACTTGCCTCCAGGACAAGGCAGTGCCAGGTGAGGGCTCCCCAGGCCTGGAGGCATGATAGCCTCTCATCTGGGCAATCTGAGTCATTAGAAAGGATCCTCATCTTCTGGGTCCTCCTCCTGGAAGAAGGAAGTGCCCAGGCCAAATCTGAAAATGCAACCAGAGGAAACCAGAGCAGCCCAGAAATGGGGGCTGCTGACTGGAGATGGACTCCAGCTTTCTTCTGTTAAAAACAGTGGGACTCTATAGTTTACCTTTCCAGTGAGCATTTATTCTCTTAGTTGGACTATCTATCAGTCCACACACTTGGGTATTTTATTCCTATAATTGCCCATCTATAGGTAACTATGGTTTCAACTCTTAGATTCAGAAATATCTCAGCACTGACAAAGTTGTTTTATGCCAAGTCTGTATGGGTCAAATGACATAAATAGTCAAGCAACTGTGGACAGCTTCTGTACTCAGCTGGCTGAAAGCACAAAGGTAAGGGATGCTGCTGACCTCAGGAATGCTGAGTGTATTTTCTGCTAGCAGATGTCCAGCAACCTGTGAGCAAGGAGATAGATGAAACCTTTCCCCAACACACTGCTAGCAAAAGGATGGAAGACTGAAATTAAAAGGCTAAAGAGGCTCTAACTGAGCAAAACATCAGCAAACTGACCACGGCCCAGAACAAGCATACAGCAGAAGTAAGCTGAACGGTGGATCATATAAGTTCATGAGGTCAGCTAGACCTTTGCCCATTGTCTACTACAACACCCCAACAACAGAGAGGCCTTGGGCTAGTGTGGAAAGGCAGGTGCTTCCAATTCGGATAACAGTTAATTGAAATCTCATGCCAAGAGTGTGAACTTGGGACATGTGACTTCATCGTTCATGACCTCAGTTTCTATGTCTGTGGAACGAAGAAAATAATATCAATATTCTGAGAGCTGTTGTGAGGATTACATTTAAAAGGACAATGCAAGTAAAATGCACAGGATGGTAGTGAGCGGACAGAAGCATGATCAGTAAGATAGAATTATTACTGGAGTAACACTTAGAACACCCACAGGCTTCCAAATAAGCTAATGGCAGGAACATACATCTAGACAGCTTCAGGTTGCATTCGTGTTGTGTTACCCTTCAGCCTTACAGGGATTTTAAATAATAGACACTGAAGAGATAGGAAAACACTCTTAATTTCACTAGCATAATTCCAATAAAGTTTCAGTCAGGAAATATTGCAGTGCCTGAAAGAAAATGATAGGAAAGCTTAATACAAAATTACAAAATACAACTTAAATGAACTTATATTAATTTTAGGACAGTATGCAGGTAAGTAATTAAGTTCAGAGGAGCTTTCTGCATTTTCTTGTTTCATTAGTATAATTTCACAAGTATTACAGAGAATGCCACTTCATCCCCGGGTGGTTGCCTCAAGACTTGGGCTGTTTTTCAGCTGTCATAAGTTAAAGGAAAGAGCAGCCCCTGATTTCTTTTCTTCATTAATGAAATCATTAATAATTATTACTTTGCAGTAGCTCTTCCCAAATGACTATCTTTACTGCATGTTAATATATTTACTGTTCAGGGGGAAAAAAAACAACTGTTAAGAGAGGTAAGCCACATAATGTAGGAAAAAAGCAAAGGTTTATGAAGGCCAAGAAAATATTAGAGCAGAGATCAATTCTGAATTGTTGGCCCTGTCAAGATTTTTAACGTCTAAAAGTGCCATCAATTCCTTTCTAATGAGTTTGACATTATTAAGATTATATGTTATAGTCAAGGAGAGTGCCATCACATTTGTCACAACATTAAGCAATGTTTTTTTTCTTTTTTTTTTTGAGGCTCCCCAAATGTCCTCACTAAAGGAGACCATTACCCTGTATAAAACCATCATGAAGGCAAATGCTGTATGGTTTCCTGGCAATCAGTTCCAAATAATGGTAGCAATTGACAACAACTTTCAAATAAAATTTGAAGCAAATTTGAAGCAAATTTTAGTCCTACTGTGTGAAAAAAGAAAATCAAAGTGCAGAACAGTATGTACAATCTGCTACATTTTGTGAAAACCCAACTTAACCCAAATTAAAGGCAGTTTCTGACCCGTTCTTGCTTCAGTTTGATCACAAAGCTGAAGAGATTGGGGAAGAATGCTTCTCCTGGAATGTAAATTATTGAATAAAGAAACCACTCATTTTAATCAGTTGTGAAAGGCCAGGATTTAAAGCATAATAATACAAACAGTATGCCCATAATCCCTTATTAACTTTTCCAGTCTATGTAGCAAGCACATTTGGTGAGTATGACTGCTAAGAAATACATCAGGTATGACTGAAAGGAAACAGCACAACCTCTTCAGAGTTTTTGGAAAAGATTACTGTTATACCTGTGTTTTATTATAAATAACCAGGTTCTGTCATATTTTATCTTCTTGCCAGCAAATGAAGGACATCGTTTCATAAAGCTTCTAAAATGTACATGAATATTTAATTAAATCATATTTCCTTGAGAAAATAAAGTTCATTCGCATTTATAGCAGACAGTTGTGAGGAGTACATAATTGTCAGAAGACCAGGGTAGCCAGTACCGGTTGCTTGTGGAACAAAACTCCTCAATTTTTAAAACTTTTTTTTTTAAAAATAAACATACAATCATAAGTGTTCATTTACTTTAAAAATTCTAAAGATGAAGAAAATTATTGTCTATATATTTAAGTCCTTGTATAAATTACAAAACTCAAGTTTATGTTACAGAGTCCCTTCCCCATAGGAAGCATAAAGCACTTTTGTGGTACCTTTCACCAGTAAATATTTGTATCACATTGAATTTAACAAACAAAATAAAAGTCGATATTGCATCTTTAAGCCCCAAGAGAACATTCTTCTAAGCTGTCTCTCATGTGGAATGAGCTTCAAAAGTCATTTGATTGCCACAATTTAACTCAATCTCAAATAAAGATATATAAAAGTAATAGAGAATTGATTTCAGTAGAAATCTGAAATATCAGTGAACTGCAGACTTTTCTTGCTTGAGGTCAACAAACACCCTTTGGAAGACAACCAAGAGTAGTTTAAGACCAGGATAACAAAATAAAATTATAACAATAATAATTATAATAATAAAAATAACAATAATAAAATAAAAATAACAACAACCAACAATGAGGTAAACTCCCCTTGAAAAAGGCAATATGTGTTGCCTGGACTGTCAGGAGAGAGTTCGATTGTACCTGACACCCAAATGTTTTTCCAACCAGAGTTCAGCCAGTTGCATGGTGGACGCAAAAGTACTTGCCTTAGATCCTAAGCACATCTTATACTGCTTAGGATCCAAGTTAGGGTCACAATGAACTGGATGGAAAATATGCACCACTCCCACTTCTTGGCTTCTGAAAGGCCTTAAGCCAGATAGAATGACTTTATTGTAGAGATCGACATCTTCCAGTCCCCAGCCTTGTATTGAGGTATCAAATCCACCTGCACCCAGAAGATCACTTTTATAAATACAGGTAATTCCATATCCATAGTCTCTCCAAAATCCAGTCTTCTTTGAGAAGACAAAGTCATCATCAGTGGGAGGATTTCCTCCATTGGTTACCTTTGGGTCATACTGGCTAAAGATGATAGGGTAGTATACCTGTTGTCCCTGAATTGTATTATCTCTACACCGTTGGAGAAAGTCTCCTCTGAAGATCAAGTCAACATCACAAAATAGCAGCAAAGTATCATTGTCAAACTGGGAAGAAGCCATTTCAAGACCGAGACCTCTGGAAAACTCTCCCTTCATGGGGATCAAGGTAAGTTCTGCTTTAGGGTAGTTGTTCTGATATTCTTTTATCAGCTCGATATGCTTGTTGGAATCTTGGCCAGAATCCCTACTGAAAAGGGTGATGACCAGCTTTACATTCTGCTTTGGAATAAGACAAGTTTTTTCAAAGTTGTCCATGAACCTTAAGAAAATGTCATACCTTCCAATGAGAGGAACAAGAATGTGTATTTTCTTTTCATTGTGCCCTCCCATTTCTTTGGGACCTTGAAAAGAAGATAGTATCTTTAAAGAATTAGATATAAAGGAGAATGACTGAGTGTCACTGTTAATACTCTCCACAAGACTGTTGACATCTAGCTCTTCGGTTTCTCTGAAGAAAGGCCTGCTGAACAACTGCTGAAGATAAGCATGACGTCTCACAGGCACAGTTAGTTTCCTCCCCTTGTGTCTTTTATATAAGAGGAGTAAATCCAATATGTACTCTACCCCATGCATGGGATCAACCCTGCGGTAGCCATATTGAATTTCCTTGAAGTCAATGAGCCGTCCCCTACTCTTGGCATTTTCATTGATCATCTCCATCACCTGCAGGACCGTGTCATCCAGGGCTGTTCTTAGGATGCTGTTGATGTTCTGTCGAGGAGGCTGGTTCTCAGATGCTGAGTAAAGGAGTTTGCCCGTCAGGAACTCCCATTCTATCACTTCATCTCTCTCCCGGGGCTGGAAGTGGTTGAAAGAAGGCATCACTCCCAGCTGCTGGTCCTCTTTACTCACCTCACTGTTACTGAGCTTGCTCATCAAAGCACTCTCCCGGTGGAGCTGGATGGTGCGGTAGCGGAGTTCAGAAATCTTGCGGCTGAGCATATAATTATGAAGCCTGTATTGGTAGGCAGGCCTTTTGTTGGGGTGAAGTGTTATGGCTGCATGGATTTTGCTATTGTGAAGGTCTTGGATATAACCCTTCCGATTATGTTCATAATTCTCATGGAACAGTTGCTGCATCTGAAAAGGAAAGGGAATCAAGATGTTAGAATAAATTTAAGAAGAAAGAAAGCAGTAAGTGAAAACATTTAAATCAAAATATTTAATAGAAATTAGTTATGTGGTATTTCCTAACAAAAGTGACTTGTAAAATTTATATTTAAATGACATTAAAATCATTTTTTTAAAGATGTTATTTGTTTATTATTTGACAGAGAGAGAGAGCAAGTGAACATGAGCAGGCAGAGCAGCAGGTGGAGGGAGAGGGAGAAGCAGGCTCCCCACTGAGCAGAGAGCCCTATGTGGGGCCAGATCTGAGGACCCCAGGATCATGACTTGAGCCAAGGGCATATGCTTAATCAACTGAGCCACCCAGGCATCCCTGAAAATAGTTTTAAAATGTCAGGTTCATATGCTCAAATACTGCAAATCAACCTTCTGTTATATACAAATGCTGTATACTAACCACCAACTGTGTATTTTGAAGTTTAGAACTTTATTCCTCTATTCCTTTTGAAATCAATTCAAAATATCAACAAAAGTGAAAATTGAATATACCCAAAACCCCATAAGGAATCATTATGAGGGAGAGGCCGGGTGGATACAGCACAGGTTTCCCAAAATAGAAGGTTCCTCCTAAGGACTAAACCCCATGCCCTGTTGCTTGGAATGGCAATACAAGACCCAGAGAAGATGTAAGTTTTATTGAGCATTCTGATATATCATCTTTACAGAGTAAGTTCTTGTTAACGTAAGGTGTAACAGAAATTATATTGATCTACATTACTGAACTAAAGGATCATGTCCTAAATCAGACATGCTTAACATTCTTAGGAGCCAGAGGTTTGGCTACTAGTCCAGAACAAGTTCACTACTTCAGGTAGAAAGAAAATGAAGAAAAAATGTAAAGCTATGAGATCACACTACAAACTGCCCGCTGACTATTCCTTCTCTGTCAGTAAAGAAACCTGCATCACACCCATTCAAGAGAAGTACCAATGGAAAAGGAGGAGGAGGAAGAAGAAAAGGAGAACTACTAGTAGCTGAAATATCTGAAGGTCTACTGATGAATAAGGAGGGAAAGAATATTGCAAATTTAAGAATATATATTCAAAGCAAGTAAAAATGATAGAAAAATCAAATAAACAAAATAGAATCTCTATAAGAACTCAAGGAATATATACATGAGCTTAAGGAGAAATAAAACCAAAGATGGTCACATTACAAGAACCAAGAAATAGACTTGTGGAAAACATAGGAGGAAGAGACTTGAGAAAATTTAGCAAAATAATGGAAACATAAAAGAGAGGTTAAAAGTTGGGAGATATAGAGGTGCCTGGGTGGCTCAGTCAGTGAAGCATCTGAATCTTGACTTTGGCTCAGGTCATGATCTCAGGGTTGTGAGATAAAGACATGTGCTGGGCTCCCCACTCAGTGGGGAGTCTGCTTGAGATTCTCTCTCTCCCTCTCTCTCTGCTCCTCCCCTCTGTGCTCTCTCTAATAAAGAAATCTTTTAAAAAAAAAGTTTGCAGATATAAAACTTTGTGTGTGTATGTGTGTATACACATAAATTACATATATACATAAATACATATCTTGATATGCATCCAAAAGCTTGAATATATATTCAGTACACATGGATATATATATATATATACATATATACATATATATATGTATATATATATATTTTTTTTTTTTTAAAGATTTTATTTATTTATTTGACAGAGAGATCACAAGCAGGCAGAGAGGCAGGCAGAGAGAGAGGAGGAAGCAGGCTCCCTGCTGAGCAGAGAGCCCGATGTGGGGCTCAATCCCAGGACTCCGAGATCACGACCTGAGCCGAAGGCAGCGGCTTAACCCACTGAGCCACCCAGGCGCCCCACATGGATATATATTAAAGAAAGTAAAATCACACATGTAAAACACATCTGAGGACCATATTTCCCTTATAATAAAGACAGATATTTATCTATCTGCAATGTGGCCAAGAGAAAAAAGATCAAAATAAATAAACAAAACCCACTTTGGCTGTAAGTAAGAAAAGAATGAATCATGTTACAACATATTCCATAGCAACATCAATGCTGAAAAACAGTAGAACACAGCTTAGGAAGACCCCAAGAAAGAAAATCAATGACTAATTATTTTATATTCAATGAAGCAAGAGCCTACGTTGATCCTAACCAAGCTAGAGCTCAAGTTTTATTATAAAAATTAACTAGTTTCTAGTTAAGAAGAGTGGTGATAAATTCTGTCAGTCCTCCCATCGAGAGGTGGAATCTATGCCCCTTTCTCTTGAATCTGAGTGATTCTGTCACTACTTCAACTAAGAGACCATACTGGAAATGACACTGTGCCTGTTTCCAGACTGACAGCTTCCCCTTCTTGTCATTGGAACACCCACTCTACAGAAGGCAGCTGGGAAATAATAATTCTGAGTTAATTTCCTTATTCTGGGCCAGGATCTTCAGGAAAATGTTGTATAGCACAACCTTGTTCCAACCTCAGACTCAGTGAAGTAGTTGTCAATCTCTCTTTAGGACAATAAGTTCCTTTTTATTTCTAATTTGCTAAGAGCTTTTATCATGAATGGCATTACAAGCTGATCAAAGGTTTTTTGTTTTTGTTTTTTTTCTGCATCCATAAGAAGTTTATGTGATACCTTTTTATTTCTGATATGGTGAATTACTAACTGAATTTCCAATATTAAACAACCACATCCATTGTATTCCCTGACTAAACACATCATGATCCTATTATTTTGTTCTCTTTATATATGGCTGGAATATATTTGCAAATGTTTGTCTAAAATATACTGTGAAAAAATAATTCTTCTCAATTTGATGTACAGGTTCAATGTAATTCAATACAAATCTCATCCTTTTATAAAAGAATATGTTGCTCTTGATATTAACAGGCTGATTCTAAAATTTATATAGAAATGAAAAGTCAAGGACATTCAAGACAATGTTAAAAAAAGTTACACCACAGATTAAAAAGTTATAGAAATTTAGATAGTATAATATTGGTATAAGGATAAACAAACAAATAAAAAAATCCCCAACCCCCCTGCAAAGGGCCAAAATAATCCATAAATAAACCTACACACAACTTAGACATCACTCGATTTATGACACATAAGACACTGGGGAGTGGAGAAAGGGTAGGTCTTTTCCATCAGTAATGCAAGGTCAGTAGGATATTCATGTGGAAAAAAGTCAAAACTGACCCTCTACCTTCCCCTCCTCAAATCTATTCCAGATGGATTTTTGATATAAATATAAAAGGTACAAAAATAAAATAAGCTTTCTAAAAGTTAACATAAGAAAATACCTGCATGACTTTTCATTAGGTATAGAATTCTTAAATATGACACAAGATACCAACCATAAAAACAGACTGATGAAATGAACTATATTAAAATTAATAACTGTTCTTCAAAACACCACTAGAAGATTATAAAAGGTAAACTACAGAGTGGGAGAAGATATTTTTACCAGATCATACCAAAAAGGACTAATACCTAGAATATGCAATGAACCTATACAAATTAGTGAGGAAGAAGGACAAACCCAGCTGAAAATGGGGGAAACAAAACAAAACAAAACAAAACAAAAAACCTGAATGGGCACTTCACAAAAGAGATTATGCAAATTCCCAATAAACACACAAAAACATTCTGTAGGTCATTCATTATCAGGGTAATGCGATTTGAAGTCATAATGTGATAACATTACAGACCTACAAGAATGCCCAAACTAAACACATTGATAATATACTGCCAGGATTTGGAACTCTCACATATGAGTGATGAGGCTGTAACTTGGTTCAACCACTGTGGTAAATTTATAACTAAAATGACCAATATGTTCCCTGTGGCTCAGAATTTCTACTCTTAGACATATACCCAATAGAAAAATATCCATACATACACCTCAAATATATATATATGTAAGAGTTTTCAAAGCAGCATTATTCAAAATACACCTGACTAAAAGCAACCCAAGTGTGTATCAAGAGTAGCATAGATAAATAAATGTCCCATATTCATACAATAACAAATAACACATCAGTTAAAATAAATGAGTATTATAATAACGTGGAGAAATCTCACAATGAAACAAGACATATACAAAAGAATACATTTTGTTTGATTCTATTTACAAGGAATTCAGAAACAAATGAAGCTAACCTATGTTATTCACTGTTAGAATAGTAATAAAAATTCAAGAAGGTAGGTTGGGAGATCTAGAGTGCTGTTAATGTTCTATTTGTTGATGGAGATCATGGTGACATCTACGCATTCGGTTTATGAACATTCATTGAACTATTGCTTAAGATATGTTTGTGTGTTATACTCCAATTAATAGAAGATTTTCTTTTGAAATTGTGATAAATATGTATGTAGAGTCAGGTAGGTTTTCCTGATATGTATGTACATAGACATGTATGGATTTGTGGGTGGAGGAGTGGGAGGAGGAGGGAAGAGAGAGACAGACAGAAAGAGACAGAGAGGGAGGGAGAATCACAGAAGTTTTCCTAGAGAAGGTGACCTAAAAGGAGTAAGACCAGTACTACAGCAGATTCTTTATCTCCAGTTTTTCAACTGAGATACTGATTTTCAAATCACTATCAGAAGAATATAACAATACATATTTAGAGAAAGATTTTGGACTTGATTCAAAGCACAGTAGATCAACTGCATCCAATATTTTTTTCTCAAAATGTATGCTTATTTTTATTTAATATTCTGTTTAATGATAAATCTAATTAAATCCACAATCTGCAGTGAGCTGGTATATCTCCATTTTTGTGGTATTATTATTTTTTACTGAAATTGCTTTCAATATTTTACTTTATATAATTTTCCATAAATTTTTATTTCTTCTTATGCAAGAAGGTAAAAAAAAAAGATCTCTGATTACATATAATTACTAATTATACCACCTGTAAAAGGTATTGGCTAAATGAAAATAATCTTTCTTTAAAAAAAATTTATTAGGGCACCTGGGTGGCTC